TTACTTTTACTGCTTCAGCTGAGACACATCTTGAAAACATATATTAAGTTTTGAATTAGATCAGAGATCCCTTCCTTTTTGAACCCTTCACTGTTTTCCTAGTTTGGGACTGCATTGTTCGATCTCCCTTCCCCATTTAGCTCTGCATAATTGTTGGCTACCTAGTGGAAAAGTATTCTAGAGCTTAATAAAGAGCAACAGTTTTGCTATAAGATGTTTGATAATGTCTAAAGGAGTACAGAGCTTGTTTTGACTCTCTTTTGGTCTCTGCAGGGCAGTGTGAACCCTTGCAGAAAAGACCTCCTTTGTCTAGGAAACAGTTTTGCTGCATCACTGCTATTCACCTCCTGCTTTCTGCAGAGCTTCATTGATTTCATCTCAGGAAAGGAAGCTGAAGGTTCCTTGGAGTGGGACTCCAGCACACTGCAGAACTGACCAGAACAGTCTACATAGAATCTCGTGAGGCTTTGGTCACTAATGCAGAAAGGAGCAACCTAAAGTTACTTTGTAAAGTGAACCAGCAGCTATGGATAATTGTCAAAAAAATAACTAAGATTTCCTGTTTACCATTGGTTTTCTGCAGTTCTAAAACTGAATTAGGACTGTTGTCAGGAGCCAACATTTTCTTGATACCTCATGCTAGTCTGCCTTTGCTACACTCAGGGACACACCATACAGCAGGAATTGATTTGAGAAAGCACAGAGAACCAGCAGCTTTTGCTGAAAGGAGTTTTCTTGTACTTTTATCATGATGATATTTCTGGGTTTGGTTGAAAAAGTTTATCCAAAATAACAAAACCTGAATTGTTTTCTTTCCCTTTATTCCTCTCACTCTTCTTTCTTGTTTACTCCTCTGTTTCCCTTAGCAACTGGTATAAAGAGGAGAAAAAGAAGTGAAAAATAAACAAACAAAAATATTTTTTTAACAGGAGAGAGAATACTTCTGTTTCTGCCAAATAAATCAGAAATGTTGCATCAAAACAGAAAACATGTGAAAGTGGTTGTTGGGATAAATTTTGTCAGACTATTTTTATTGGTATTTTTATCACCATCATCATTAACCCACTATTCTTTCAGAGCTACCTCTCATTGCTAGGAAAGACTGACGACTTTTTCAGAAATCCTGGACTGGATCCAAAGATTTCAAGTCCTGAGATAGGGTCAGGCCATAAAAGCAGGAGGGTGTCAAACAGTGTTGCAAGGGCAATTCCAGCTGTGGAGCTGGTGATTCACTCCTCCCACTCTGAACCAAAGACCACCTTTTCCTCATCACATCCTGGCCTTTCACTGCCACAGAACACAAACAACAAGCAACTCTCAAGCAAGAAAGTAACTCTTTGCCAGAGTAAATTGCCTCAAAATATCTATGCTGTGATCAACTAATGTTCTGTCCAAGGGACATCCAATCCCGACTTTTCTTTTTCTGCAAGAATAAGGTATCAGGCAAGGACAAGCCAGTGCTAAAAACATCATCAGCCCTAAAGTGCTAGGGACATCCCCCTGCAGGAAGCTGGGCTGCATGCTGTGCCCCAAGGTCTCCTTAGGGCCACCCTCTGTGGGAAACTGCTTGAACTCAGTCCTGATCAAATCTGTGACTGTCTGGACTCTAGGACCAAGAAATACTTTTACACCTTTGCTTCTGAACAAGGTCAAGATAACACAGTGAGTGACAGCTTCTCCCTCCAAGAGGTCCAAGGGAAGAGACCTCCCACCACAGTGTCACATCCTGCAGTTGTGTTCCTGTGCATCAGCACAGTGCATCTGAAAAGTTTGCATAAGCAGTATACGACATGATAGGCAGGTCAGAAGAATTTGTCCCAAATCTTGTAAAAAATATAGATGTTCTGCTGGACAGGTTCACCCAACGTTTGATAAAGCTGGTGCCAAATGCAATATAAGTCTGCTCAGACAATACAGGGATGCTCGTATCTGGGAGAAGTTGTGCTGTGAGAAAATATGATAGAAGTCCATAAGCTGTCAACTGAAGTTGTCAACTGCTTGACAACTGTCAGAGGTGGGAGAGTACAGCCAGAGGTAACTCTGCTCTGAGACTGCTCTGCAGGTCCAGAAAACCTTTTCCATCGTTGCCTGACAAAAGGGTAGCATTGCTTTCAGGAGCAGATCTCACCCCTGCGGTCCATCTGCAAAAACTATGTCTAAGAACAAGGAAACCAACACTTCATAATTTCACTGATCTTAAAAAATATGCTGTTTTTCAAGATTAGGAGCTCAGTTTTCCTGCTTTGTCCAAGCTCTTTATACAGGGAAATAAAATAAGGAAGGGTCAAGGAGTCAACACAGTCCCACAAGGCAAAGTAAAGGGATGGGAAATGGAGGTTTGCTCTGTGCTGGGGAGGAGTCATACAATTGTAAAGAAAAAGCATTTTGACTTTGGCAACTGTTGTGCAGCATGAGCAATTTATCATATTTCAAATATTTGTTTGGATTTTAGACAAACAGATTTTGGCATATTAGCTTCTCCCATGGGTATACCCCAGACATTCTCAATCCTTGGTGGGAAGGACTATCCTGGAAATAATTAGGCAGGTTGAGGTGTGAGTCACCATCCTTTTTTCCTTCAATTGATGAGATGTGTTCAGTCCTCGGGGAAATTATGGAGAAATGCAACCTCCCTATTAATGGGTCTGGCAGAAGAGGCATTTTAGCCAGCCGTGAAAGACTGATACAGACATAACAGAACTAGGCTTTGCAATTTGCCATGGACTCATTCAGTTTGTGACCATGTGCTGGGGGCAGCTCTGGTCACTGCAGTGGCTGGTGGACCATGTCATGAACAAGAGGGAGCTGCCTCCCCGGAGCTTGCAGGAAGACCAACACAGCAACAGAAGGTGGGGATATTGTGCCTGTGCCTGAGCAATGAAAAACTCACTCCTGACAGCATATTTCACACAAAGAAAAGAAGGATTAACCTTGAAAAGCATTAGTACAGAGATGAATAGGTCCTTCTTCATAGCTCTCACCATTGCACTGCTCTGTAAAACTGAAGGGCTGGTTGTAGAAACCGATCAGCCCTCATGTGCTGAGGAGAACCAGCACGCAGTATGATGGCTGCTTGCACTTCCATTGGCTTCAGTTTTCCCTTCCATGGGAAGACTCTAAAGTAACTGAAAGCAAAGGACAAAGAACATGAATGCCCCTGCTCCCAGTGTGCTATGTACACATCACTTGACACAGAGGAGATGAGAAGGAACAGGGAGCGGAGTACCGCAAAGTTGCAGTTGTCATCTGTTAAGTATTTTGCAAGTGGCTGCCACCACAACTGGATCTTCTTTTGAATGAAGATTATTGGAAGAAAGCGAGTGAGATACATCCAGAAGAGAGCAAGGAGAAGACTGAGCAGCAAGTGAAGGAGGCAGAGGAAGTCGAAGTAGGTTCAAGAGTAAAGAGCCCTTCAGCAGTGATGGCAGTGTGGGAGAAGAGGATTGGGTAGGGCAAAAACATCTGCAGGTGAGTAGGGAGGAAGCAGACACGTGCAAGGCGATGGAGTCAGGGGTAGTAGGAGAGCAGGAAAAGCATCATGTCTAAAGAGCCCCACAAGGATCACACCAGAGGTAGAAATCTTTCCTTTAAGGATTGCAAATCACAATTACACTGGTTGGATTAGGGTGATATGGCACTGTAAATATAAGTGGTTTATACAAATAGCAAACCTCTCTGCTAAGAGGTTATCCAGAGAAGCAGGGAGACATTAATTTAGGAGGCAATTTTTAATCTTTGCAGCTGCTTTACCCATTCTCCCCAACAAGGCAGATGAAAACTGTTGGACACAGGGGTCTGCAATGCTACTGGGTATTTCTTGTTTAATGAATATTCCTGATTTATGCAATGATAACAAGAGCCCAGGGAAAGCACTGCTCTGCTTTTCTATTTCTATAGGTCAGAAGTTTCAAGTTTTAGTAGTACCACCATTTTTTTTAAACACTGAAATACCCAGACTGGACACTGTGTGTCTTTCCCGCTAGCTGGCATTCTGCAGCAACAGCCTCATTTGTATTCTGTCTTTTACTTCAGCAAAAAAATCTCCACTCTGCATTGCCACAACTAAGTACTTCCTCACTGCAAAACAGAGGTTGCCAAACAGTCACAATAAATTCAACATGTCCCTACTAACATATTTTATTCATACTGATGGTCTGCTTCACAGTGTGTTCCCAAAGACTTGATTTAAAATTTAAGCCCCAGACTTCTAACAAAATATAGAAAGGAAAACAAAGTGAATATCTTTTTCTATGCAGCAGTACGAGAGAGCTGCCTCTCCTTCAAAGCTGATCTATCACAGATTTCAGGCTGGAGTTTTTTCCTCACACAGGATTTGAGTGTCTTCCTGTAGAAAGGAAAAAATTGGGACTTCTTAGAGTCATTTTCTATAAGGTCCTGCTTCTTTCTCCAGTTAAAAATTAATTTCATGCTGTGGAGAAGTTTGGACTGGATGATCCCCAAAGTGAGGCCCCCTCCAAAATAGTATTCTTGAGTGGACCCCACCCTGACCGGCCAAGGCCCTAACAGCCAACCAGCTCTTGGGGCACTGTATTTCTGTCTTGAGAAGCAGGATTTGTCATATCTGTTGGGGATTAAAGTTTCACTGGCCCATCCTGTTTGGGTCTTCACACAGCAGGCTTTTCCTTACACTCTGTTTGTGAAAGGAAATCCATCCAAACCCATAATGTAACTTCAAGTGAGGCATTGTATGGAAACTGAAGGCTTTGTGGGCCAGAGCTGTTTTCGTAGGGCTCTCCTTTGCTGTCAGCAAGTCCAGGGTTTTACCCATGGGTCTGGGAGGCACTTACAGGAGCATCCTCCAGGTGCAATAAAGGCTGCGTAACATTTGGTTATGCAGCACTCTGTCACATATCGGATACTCAGGTAGCTGGGAAGTATCTGAGCTACACTAAACTCTTTCCACAACCCACAGGGAAAAAATGAATCTCCAAGAGATTGTTAGCAGTGTCTCAGATATGTTTTAGGGCAGGAGGACTCACCATCCAAAATTCTCTCAATCACGTCAGAGAGAAGCAGGCAGAGTTCACAGCAGGCACTGCTACTTTTCAATACTCAAACTGAATGAAGCAGATCTATCCTTTCTTTTGTGGACAGAACAAAACACCTGGGGAGAAATGGGGGAAAAAGAAACATCAGCTGCTGGTGGTGATCTGTGTTGGAACAGCAGGCCAGAAAAGATGCCTCCCCTTACCCTGTGTGAGCCACTTCCTGCAACACTTGCATTTCCTCTCACTGGCTCTTGTTAGCAATTGCTTTGTGAATTTTTGCTGGTGTCAGTATGAATACACCCTTGGCACCACACACACTCCCTATGGTCATGAGGTTGAGCACTGTTTCATGAGTGACAGTGTAGCTCAGGGATGGCAAGACTGGAATGAGCTGGGAGCCAGACAAGGTGATGGGGCTGGGGCCAGGTCCAGTGGCAATAACCATGACCAGCCACAGCCCAGTGATGTCCAGGCAAGGCCAAAGTAACAAGGAAGGTCTAAAGTCAAGCTGGGAACTCGAGCCAAGGTGAGATACAACACACATTTCTCACAGCTCAGGCCAGCACTAAGGTCAAGGATCTGAGCTTCAATGCTACTCGTGAGCCAGCAAGTAACGGAGAGTCAGGAGAAGGCTGGTTGGAGCAATGACAGCTTGCTGGAATAGTCCAGTTCCTGACAGCCATCGTCAGGGGAAGTCTAGGAATAGCATTGCCACTTAACTGGTTAAGCACTTCTAACACTTCACCAATAACAGGACTTACCCTGAGACATTCAGCTTTTTAATTGCCACTCTACTTTATTCTAAGACCTCTTCCTCTCCCACTTTTCAATGTTATATGACTATTAATAGCTTCTTGTGCAAGGAGCTGGAAGCAGAGGGAGACCTAAGAATATTATACCCAAAATGGTAAAATCAATGACCTGCAAAGGAGTGGAGACGAGATGCTTGCTGCCATCTTCTCCTTCTCCCACCAGGGCCGCCTAAGTGGCACCAGCTCCCTGGCTCAAGCAGTTCAGCCACAGCTATAATTCACCGTGACTCAAAAATTTTACTTTGACAGGAAAAGCTGAAACAGCAGAGGGCTTCTTGTCACCGTCTCTGGACAAGCCAAGGAGAGGCAGAAATGGCTTGTTTAATGCCATCTCTCATTATTCCGGGCGCTTTATGACTCATTAAGTGTCCTGGTTTTGTAACTAACTCCTGCTGAGCTCAACACTTAAAACACATTTATGAGTGGCCTGTTGTATGTACTAATGATTCGTAATTCCCCTAACCACGTTAACTCCTTCATTTGCACGACAGGTTTCCTTTAAACAACTATAAGATAAAGATACTGGGGACCTCAGTTCTTAATGCAGAATGGATTACATTTATCTGGACAATTTAATAACATACCTATATGCTGCAGTTGACGCGCTTGTTCTGAGCTCAGATAAACTATGCTATGTCTTAACACTTCTTACACTGCCCCCCTTCTGTATCCATTTGGCTTTTTACCATGGATGTATCCCTGCAGGTGGATGCCTGATACTGATCCCCCTTCAGAAGAAGGTCAGCAGCACACACGTCAGAATTTATTCGCTTGTATGGAACAGGAACAGGAGACAAATGACCATTATTGCCCATTACATGTGGGAACTAGAAGTAAGGGACCTCTGTTCAGGAACCTCCTTGTGATATGAATGATTTTGTCAGCTTCTTCCCTGTTTTCCAACTTGCTTTCTTTGCAAAAGGTCAGTGAGAATTCACAACAGAGCCCAGCAGCATGTTGACCCAGCTTGACAGGTGATGCAAATGGAGCAATTGCAAGCACTCAGCACAAGTTTGACAGGCACAAGTATTTTTTTGAGATGACAGCACATTTAACCTGTCTCTTCTGAAAGTGTTATGCCTATCACCTTGGAGATAGGTAGACAGGTCTGTGAATAAAGTTAATTTTTCTCTCATTCACTTGAAGAACAGAGTCACTTATTCTGGTGACTGAAAAGATGTGACTTTGTGTATACAGTCTAAAACATTCAGTCTGTGTATTTTGGGGCATGACTAAAAAGTCACCAGAAAAATCACACAGCTCTAAACTGAAGGTCAGTACCTGGTGTTACTTTAAACTCAAGGTGGAAGTTATTTGCAGATTCAATCAAAAAGTGTAGTAGAAGTGTGTCTGATTTCAGGTTAATTTATATGAGAATGGTCTCAGAAATTCAGTGGTGTGTCAGACTATTCAAGCTGGCTTTGTACTGGGTTTGGTTGGGATGGAGTTAAACTTCACAGCAGTCTGTCTGGTCTGTGCCTTGCATCTGTAGCTAAAATAGCATTGGTAACACACCAAGTTTGGGTATTGCTGAGCAGTGCTTGCACAACATCAAGGCTTTCCCTCCAACAACCCACCACCAACTTTAAAGGACTGTATGCTGGAGATGGACAAGAGATTGGGAGGGGAAATAACTGGGACAGCTGCTACAAATAACCCAAGGGATATCCATGCCACATGATGTCTTGCTCAGAAATAAAAGCTGATGGAAAAGAGGACGATGGGAAGACATTTGTGGTGATGTCATCTGTCTTCCCAAGCAACTGCTATGCATATAGAGGCCCTGCTTCCCCTAAAGTAGCTGGACATTTGTCTGCTGACTGGGCTGTAGCGAATGATTTCCTCCTTTTACTATGCTCCCTTGTGCAGCTTTTGCTTTTCATAGGAATTGCACCTATATCAACCCATGAGATTTTCCATGTAATTTTTTCCCCTGGTCTTTCTGAGGAGAGGAGTGAGAAAGCAGCCGGGTGGAAATCTGGCAGCCAGTCAAGGTCAACTCTCCACAGGGTTCTGGACAAAGATTAATTGTCTTGACTGGTTCTTTCCATTTTGGTTACTGCTAATGGCAAAGAAAACAGATGATGTAAACTTCAAAGGCATTTTCATAGGAGAACTGTCAATTTCATTTAATACTGCCAATCTCAAACATTCAGTAAACATCAGCCCTGATAAAAAGAAGAAAAAACACTTGGGGTCTTACTTGTCAAGCCTTGGTGCGTAAACCCAAAAGGATGTGGTTTTATGACCAGCATGTTCTAGTTCTAGCCTGTGTTACCCTGCTGAGAGTGGCCCCGCTCTCCTAAGTGCTTGTTTTATATTCCCGCTGCTTTCCTTAGGTCAACACCAGCCGTCAGGAGAAGAGTCAAATGAGCTCCATGATCTGGCTGACAAAATTAGAGACAAGAAGGGTCTTGTTCATTCTTGCAAAATCTTTTGTTTCCAAGGTGGTTTTGCAATAGCAGGCAGGCTGTGTTCAGTCTGCTATAAAGGTGGTCCAGAAGGAGCAGATGATGCAGAAGGTCTGCACAGGAGTACAGTTTGTCATCACAGTATTTCTAACTCTGTGCAGCAGTCCCTGTCAGCAGGAGAAAAAACAATCACTGATTTCAGTCAAGTGCTTTGACTGCAGTATTTCCATCTTTGTCCTGCATTGCTTTATGCAAGGTTTAGACATTTACTATTGGTGACTTGGGCTTTTGCTGAAGGATGTGTTTTAAAGTTAGAGACATGGCTGTTACGAAATGAAGAAAGTGCACAAATTCACCCTTGGAGGAGTAAAAACAACAAATTGCAAAGTATAGGATTCAGTGTCAGAGAATATGCTTCTCTGGAAGGGATTTAGTTAATTTTTTACCCCATGAAACAAATGACATCTCTCAGAAAACACTCCCTGTGAGGACCTTGATTCTTCAGGAGGTAGAATGAGTTAGTGATCAGAGATGAAATGCAAAGGTGTTTTCAGCATAGCAGCTGGCTGCTCGATTTTCCAATACAGTACATTACGTTGTTAATGGAAATGTTGCTTTATACCTTCTGTTTTTCTCCCAGTAGAATTAATTTCAGCACTGTTTGCATGCCAAGCATGCACACTCACAGCTATGAGCTCTGGGGAGAGGGAGAAGGCACAGCTTGGACAAAGATTCTGCAACAGGGCTGGGAGCTGAACCTGCTGCCTTTGCCAAGTGACTTCACCACATGACCATCTTTTCTCCTGCCCATAGGAACTGTCTCACACCACTACAGACAGGCATCAGGAGCCAGCAGATTCAGGGAAAAGCATCTGGCTGTTTCAAAGTCCTTTGGGAGATCTGCAGAAACAGGAGTTTTCTGTTCCACTCTGTGATGCAGCAAAGAGGGGAAAAACACCCACCATTTCCCACAGAGCGGCTAACCCTTCCCAGTTTGCTAATCCAACCTACACTCCTGCTCCTGCCAGGAATTAATCTGTTTCAAGGCTCCATGTGTCATTTATTAAGAAATAAGAGAGCAGGGAGGAATAGCTTTTAAAGAAGAAAGCCACGTATGGGCTGGGAAACACAGGCTGCCAAGTCTTTGGAAACACTCAGAGATGAAAGTACCAGAGGAGTGCCGCATGGCAGTGCTGCTGGTATAGGTACTGTGCTGCTAAAATAGCTCTCCATGTGCTGGTCATGGAGAGAGACAATTTTGGAGCTGGGGACACAGAGGTCACTAAATCCGATGGTCACAAAATGGGAAAGTAAAGGGAGTAAATTCTTCCATGCAGTGGGAGTCACTGACCCAAACTGAAAACTCTGGGGAAAAAAGAAACAGGGCATGTAAGTACTTCCTTGGGAGCTGACTGTGAATGAAGCAGCTTGGTTTTCACTTGGATTTGCAGCCACATGTTTGTGAGGAAAATGGGGGTGGAAAAGCTGAAGAAACAGCAGGAGAGATTTCTGAAAGGACTATAGGCTTGCACTTGAGAGTGGGAAAAGTACCTCCTGCTGTGTATGTGTGCAGGTGCTCGAGGTACATGAACTTCAGGAACATCCAGTTTGTATTTCATCCTGCTAGAAGCAAGTCACAACTCCTAATTAGCTGCTAAGACCAAAAGGCGATCATCGATTTTCCAAGTGCTTAGAAAAAAGAAGAGTGAAATTTGAAAATGTGAGGCAGAGCTTTTGTTCTATTATTGCAGTGCCAAAGCACAGCATCTTTAAATAAAGTCAGCAGTATTATTTTGTGTGTGCTTAGGAGGAAACTGTAATCCCTCATCCAACATTACCTGAGTTTGCAGAGTTACCCCAGTGTAAATCAGGCCATAACTATATATGCACAGCCATTGACTTATTTGGTCCCAATCAGCATAACTGCTATCACTGTTTTGTATATCAGAAGAAATAAAAAAACCAGAAAACTTGTTTACTGGCAACTTTCTTTCCAGAAAAACAACTTGCATATATTTTCCTACATCTCTGGAGAACAAAGCCTTTAATATCAACAAGAAAGAAACTTCCTAAAGTCAAAACCTTAGAATCATTAGGGTTGGAAAACATCTCTAAGATCACTGGGTCCAATCATTAACCCAGCACTGATCTCTTCTCTCTGGCAGTCAGTGACAGGACCTGAGGGAATGGCCTGAAGTTGTGTCAGGGGAGGTTTAGGTTGGATATTAGAAAAAGGTTCTTACCCCAGAGGATGGTTGGGCACTGGAACAGGCTCCCCAGGGAAGTGGTCGCAGCACCAAGTCTGACAGAGTTCAAGAAGTGTTTGGACAATGCACTCAGGCACATGGTGTGACTCTTCGGGATGGTCCTGTGCAGGGCCAGGAGTTGGATTCAATGATCCTTGTGGGTCCCTTCCAACTTAGGATATTCTGTGATTCTGTGATTCTGTAATTGTAAGAGTCTCTATTTTCAGCAGTTTGATATGCATTAACTATGCTTTCTAAAACATAGGAATACTGTTGAAAAGGGCTCCAAAAGCCCCTGCAGCAATGCTCCTCCAGTTTTGTCTCCCAGCAGGCAGCAGGCAAACAACACAACATCCCTGACCAACTCATTCCCAAAGGCCCTCTTCTTTGTGGGGGACAGGGAAATCAACTCGCTGGGACTATTGTCCCAAAATAGGTTCTTTCACCCGGCATGCAAGAAGCCAGAGAGTTAATCAATTACCACAGAGTCCAGGTAATTGATTTATTTACAGTTCTGCACAGAAACAGTGGCAAATCCAGAAAGCCAGCAAAAACTTTTCACCATTTATATATTTTAGCAAGCAAAGGCATTAATGTTCAGTGGCTACAAGTTACCTAGTTCTCTTATTAATTAGTATTAATATATTGCATTAATTAATTATTATTCTATCTTCTATTGGTTAGTGATTCTCTCGCTTCTCATGCTAGTTATGTCCACATGCTCAGTCTTTCACTTCTTTTGAGTCAGTGGGCTTTTTGGGTCATTGGTCCCTGAGTTGGTGGTCATGATCTGCCCCTTCCAGAACCACCTTTAACCCAGTCAGAGCTGATTTCAGCACAATTGCCAAGCTGCCTTTATTAGTTTCTTCCTTATCTTGGGGGCTCTGCCAAATGTCCCTGTGGCCTGTAAATTCTGCATTCTCTGTATCCACCGTCAGTGGTACATCCTTCTTCCCAAGCTTTGTTAACATCCCAGTAGGCCTGAAATCATTGAAACAGGTCGAGCCCCAAACCTTAATGATTCTACCAACAAGTAATTCGTTTTTCCAACACCTGGACATCACTTAGAGCTTGTTAGCTGCCGTTTCGCGGACTAAATCTCCTTTCTCGTTGATTAGGCTTAAAAGCATACAAAGATCAAACATCAAAGGACATCCTTCCTTAAGAAAACTTCTACGTATTCCACATTTTTCAACAGGACTGCTGTCCCACCTTTGTCCCACCCGCCCCGAGGTGCCCCGCACATCCCGAGCCCCCCTGAGGGGAGCGGGCGCTGCTCCCGCCATTCCCGCGGGAGCCGCAGGGGGCGCGGCGGGGGCGGCGCCGGCAGGGCCAGGGTCCAAGATGGCGTCGGGGCCGCCTCCGTCGGCCGCGAAGCTGTACCGGCCCAACGCCTACGTCTCGCTGCCCGCCGAGCTCGACCCCGACACCTACGATGCGTCGCCGGAGAAGCGCCGCGCCGAGGCCGAGCGCCTGGCCATCCGCGCCCGGCTCAAGCGGCAGTACCAGCTGCAGCTCAACAACCCCAACCCGCCCGCCGCCGTCATCGTGAGTGGGGGGGGGGGAGCGGGCGCGGGCCGAAGGGGCAGCGGGGGAAGCGCGGGGCTCGTCCGCCTCACCCGGCGGGGTCCGGGCCGGGCCTGGGGCCGGGGCCGTGCCCGGGGCCGTGCCGGCGGGACGCTGCCCGTCCTCCCCGTGACCTTGGTGCCCTTCCCGGCGTCCCCCGGGTGGAGTGGCCATGGCAGGGCCCCGCAGGCCTCACCGCGGTTTTCTTTGCACCCCAGGAAGACCCCGCCATGATCCGCTGGGTCTATGCGAGGACGCACAACGTGTACCCTAATTTCCGCCCAACCCCCAAGACGTCCTTTCTAGGAGCTGTTTGTGCAATAGGCCCCATCCTCTTCTGGATCACTGTCTTCAAACTTGACAGGGTAAGTCATCTGGCGACACCGAACGTCGGTGAACAGCAAAAACACCGGATTGTGAAGTATAGATCTGCACCTCAGAATGATTAATACCATTAAAGTAATGAGGAAAGGAAGACTGATACCGAGCCTGCTATCTCAAAGCCTCGTAACTGGTTGCAAAGTCCTGTTTTTCTAAGAGCCTTTTATTGTATGCTGGGGTATGGCCAGTCACAGTTTGCCCGATCAGGCTGTTTTGCTGTAATAAAGTTCTCTGTAGCACTAATAGTGGAAATTAATCATAAGAGACTCTTATTTTCAGCAGTTGATATGCATTACCTATACTTTCTAAACTTAAATAGGAAGCTTATGGAGGACAGACTTATCAATGTCTCAGTGCAATTGCTTGACCATTTCTCTAATCTCATGAAACAAATCAGGAGGAGTTATAATAATGTTGATTGCAGTGCCTGACCTCAACTGGTTGTTTTAAGATTTTGGAACGTTTATCTTTCTTCCATTCTAAATCCTAAAATGTGGACATCAGAATCTGAGAATGGTAGATGATTATGAAAAACCTCAGCTTTATGCATACATAAGAAAATTCTAGGTAACTGGCAGACAGTGGCTGGTTTTTGTAGAGAGTTTGGAGCTGTTGTAAAACATTTTTTGTTTCCCTCTTTTGCATAGAAGTAACATTTTAGATCAAGTCACTAACATAAATTAATAGAGTCTTTGTAGGGAATGTTATTTGCTAGGATGAATCGAAAATACAGGTTTTAGGAAACATGCTGAGCGTGTTGATATGAATATTTTTGAGACTTCAGTACCTCTGCAGTATTTTGTCATACTGAGGTCTTTAATTAGTGCCCAGGTAATTTGTTTTCCTTTATTGCAGTTCCTTTAGTGATGTTTGGGGATTTTTCTTGTTTTTCTGATAGTAAATAACGCACAATAATCATTATACATTTTTCTCTGAGAAGTGTTTGCTCTTTGTCTGGGAAAGCAAAAGATACACTGCTAAGTCTTAAGCAAATCTGCTGGTTTTATCCAGCAGAAGGAATCTGGGCAGTATCCGCAGTGTCCGGTAATGGTACCTGACAGAAAGGTAAATGACTGCAGAGTGAGATACGAAAGGGTTGAAAGTGAGCACAGTCAGACAAGTTATTAGGAAGTTTCTCCATAATTATGTCTCTAAGCTGGATTATTCAGCCACAAGGAGGAGGTAGAAACTAAGGTACTACAAATTAACTGTTACACAACTAGTTTGGTGAAAAGTACTTCACAGGAATTGGTCTCTGCTGGCTGTAAGAGTAGCTAGATGTGAGGTGAAGTCAGTCTGAGAAGGTCTTTAGTAGGTGAAGTTAAATGCCTTATTATCTTTTTAACCACAACAGCTCTTACCAGAGTATGTGCTTATAGAATCATTTAGAGTGGAAAAGACCCTTAAGATCATATATGGTGCTGTCTCTGTGTAGTCCATGCTGAAATACTAGGGCTGCTGTTCTCTTATCCCAGGCTGACTGAAATCCTTCTCTAGTAAAATAATAACAAATGTTCTTTTTCTTCCACAGGACCATAAAGAGAAGCTTATCAAAGAAGGTAAATTCGAACGGCCATTCAGTGTATTCTGAGTTCCTGGAATTACAGTGGTGTTCATGGAATATAAATAAAATAAGATATATTATGTGCTGACGTTTCTCCTTCATAAAAATAAATCTTAATTGCTTGTTGGTTGTCTTGCATCTTTAAAAATAATGAAAAGTGTGATAAAGTAGGATCTCTGTATCTAAACCAGACGGATATGGAGACAGTGTCTGAAACTTGGCCAGTGCACTCTTTTGATCTAGGTACAGAGGCTCCTTTTAAACCACGGAAGTTGTTGCTGTCTAAGCAGGCTGAAGTCTAAAATTTCTAGCCAGGTAAAATGTTAAGAAAGACCAAAGCAGTTTCCTAAAGAACTATTGCTTGCCTTCCAGATATTTCTTCCTGGTGTCAGTTTGACTGTGTGGTTTGCCCTAATTGGGAATAGGCAAGTTCTGTGATACATTTTTAAGAACCTGGGAGCCTGCCTGACTGGTCTAATAAGTTGAATTAATTTTTCTTTTCCTTAATAAAATGCAAGCCTAAATCATGTATATTGCAATAAACTTCTGGATAAAATTACAGTACCATATTTGGAAACAGTGAGCTCAAGGTTGTCATGCCATACGTGACTAGCATTTCTACTAATTCTGTTATTCCTGTGAGTGGGAGATAAGAAGTAAAAGAGAAAGATTTTTGTTTTGACACTGGATCCCTTGCAGTGTAGGAAAATTCTGTTTCATCCCTGTAAAGGGGCTGTGTTCAAAAACAAGAAACCAACACCAAGCGAGCCTTGTGCCTGCAAAGATGCCTCCTCTGTTTATTCTTAGAAGAACACAAGACTTCTCTACCCAGGTCAACTGGTATAGATGACTCTGGAATTGTTACTGCCAAGGTACTGAAATGTGAGTGCAAGAAAAGATTTTTAATTCAGAGATGAATTTTCAAGTGGCCTGTAGGTGCCATTGTGACCCAGACAACCTTCATTCTTTGGACATTGTATGGGAGTGGTTTCTTCCCAAACGTTGAGGTTAATGCCAAAAGCTCAATCTGATGCAAAAGTTGAAAACTTCCCTCTGCCTTCTGGGAAAGCAGCCAATGTTAAGTCAGCAAAAACAGCTCTACCGAGCAAATATGGGCCATTTGCTTTCCTGAATGTAAATATGGGCCATTTGCTTTCTGTCTTCAGCAGAGTGAGTTAATGAGCTTTTTCACATAATCGCAAAATGGATGAGGTTGGAAAGGACCTCTAGAGGTCATCTGGGTCCAACCTCTTGCTTAAGCAGGGCTGTCTAACGTGGGTTGTCCGGTGCCATGTCCACGTGGCTTTTCAGTATCTCCAGGGTTGAAGACTTCACAGCCTCCTTGGGCAACCTATGCCTGTGCTCAGTCACCCTGGCAATAAAAACGTTTCCTGAAGTTTATTTTTGTTTATAATTTCTTTAATTGTTTCCTGTTGTAGCTCTTTCCTTTCCTGTCTGGGTCGCAAAACGTTCAGCCTGTGTGGAGTTTGGCACTAATTCTGTGTGCAGAAGCTGTGCGAAGACGTGCCCTGCTTTTGCAATCCCTTATGTGCTCCCAGCAACCCTCTTGCCCTTGTTTCTGTAGCTTGTTCTTGGGCAGGGTTAACTAAAGCAAACCTGGATTATTCTCTCTGCAGAACAGCTTCTAAAAGACTGTCACAAATGATATTACAAGATATGGCTGTGGATCCATGCAGAGAGGCATCAATGCACGGAGAGAGTGGTATTTAGGGAAAGAAATGATTGCTTGTCTGCGCATGCTAAATTAACTATTCTTGCTGCCACAAACTAATTTGATCTCCCAGGACCCATTTCCTCAGCTAATTGCAACTCGAGTTGCCACGCATGTAAATTCTCCCTTGCAGCTGTATTTGTTTCAGGCCAGCTGAGGCGATGGTTTGGGATGGATTGTGGATGAGCACAGTGCCTCTGGTCTTTCAGGCCAGCATCAGATTGATGCTTGCGGCACCTGCCACAGCCCTTTCCTGTGCAGATAAAAGTCTCTGATGCTACATCCCTGCGGATTTGAGCATGGTGCTTGGGGAAATGCTGCCCTACTTTTCTCATTATTTGCAGAACTCTCCATGCTGTTTTCTTGCAAGGAATGAATGTGCCGTGCTACTAGAGGTGGGGTTGGTGTTTGAGGCAGTGGTGCTGGGTGCATAGAGGAAGGAAAGGGAATTAAGTTTCCCTTTAGATATGTAGAATGAAAACAGGGAATTAAATGTGCTTTGTGGAACTTGACCCTTGATTGATGTGTTACCACCCATATCTGCTTCAGTGATATGTGTATACAAGAGAAATTCAAGCCTGCTGGTCACCACATGATAATTTAAGTCCCAAACAGAAAACAAGCTTTTCCCCTCTGCACGTGAAACATTCAGACCTCATTTATCCCTGAATCAGTCTGATTAAATCAGCTTGTCTGGCAAATTGATTCTCCCGAACGTCCTTTTCTGAATTGGTTATTTTAGAGTAAACATCTCCGTGTAGATTTTATAATGTAATACTTTGCTCAAAGCTGATGCTTTTTTTCCCCCCAAGGATCTGGTGCAGATCCAAAACTGATGATGGATGTAGCTGACTGAAATTACATGTCGCAGTTCTACATTTCCTTCTTTTTTGGAAAATTGTTTGTCTTGGGAAATAAGAAACATAGATTCTGGTGGCACCAAGCTTAGAAACCTTCATGTGGGTACGTGGTAGAGACCTGAAGTGTGAGGTGTCTGGGCTGTCCTGGTTCCCACCCTATTTGGGGCTTTTTTTTCTGTCTCCACCAATGCAATGCTGCAAATTAGCACTGAGCTAGGGAGAGGATTTGTCAAGTGCTAACAAACAAGTCAATGTTGAAGGATGGCCAGGGTGTGGAACAGAAACTTTCCCTTACTTATCAGTGAAATGCTTTGGATTCTCCAGCCTTTCTTCATTTGTGGTCTACTTTTCTGACAATCAAGTCTTTCCTTTGGCAACCCTCCACAGATGAGCAGGTTGAAGTGTTCTGCTCTAATAGGGGGCTTAGGTCTGATAGAGCCTTCGGCTCTGTAAAGCTCTTCCCATACAGACAGCATGAAATGCTTTGTCAATCCCTAGCTTGTCCCTGTGAAAGACACATGGGGTTGTATTTTCTGAAAACCCTCTGAACAAGAGCCAACTGTCACCTTGTGTCCACACAAGGTGCAGCTTTCACACCAACTATGTATGGTGAGAGACACGCAAGTACTTCAGCTTCAATGTGTCACCGGGAAAGCTTTAATTGGATACTTGAAAGTTAAGAATAATGGTGTTCTTTTACTGCATTTCCCAAGTTACATAGGGATGATCATTTTCGTGGCTCGGTGGCTGCTGGAAGTGCCGTTCTGTGCTAGGGCACTCTGCATTGCCCGAGTTGACTGTGCCATCACTCGTAGGTATGCTGGATTTCCCTGCCTTCACTCACGTGTTGCAAGCAGCAAGCACCTCCTCTTTACTTGCATTTAGGGTTGAAATGGCTTTTCAGAGGTTCCCAGCACTTGTAGTAGTTTTTATCTAGGCGGTTGGAGGTCTGGAGGCCCCACTTGGTGACAGCAAGGCTGAGGGATGATTCGAACATGAAGGCCTGTTGGGAAGAAGGAAGGTAGGTTAGGGCAGGAGAGCGAGAGCTTAAATCCAGGCAAGGTGTCTGCTCTGCCACAAACAGGATTTGTATGCATGGTCCAGCACTGCCAGGCTGTATCTCCAACCTGATCAACCCAGGGGAAGAAAGATCTTATCTGGCATTGCAATGCTGGTATTAGTCACGTCTCAGGAGTGACTTTGGACTACCTGCACGCCCAGACAAGCCAGGTTCTTCCAAAAGCTCTAGTTCAAGGTCTGTTGATAATCATCATTAGATTTTAGGGGTAGAGACAGGAGGACAGTCAAGGGGTTTGCTTCTTTGTCCAAAAATTCAATTAATCAGTCTGAAAATTCCCAGCTTCCTGCACAGGCAACAATTTACATGGGCAGATGATCAAAGCCGCTTGCCATCGTATGTCTCCAGGTGAGCTCCTGGGAGTTGAATGGTGCTGATCAGTAAGGGAGGTGAATGCTGCAGCACTTGGGTCCAAGTACTTTTCCAGCTTGCCAAAATGCTACAGTACTAGGCTGTAGTTTAAGAGTGGCACTATGCCAAGCTGTATTCAAAGTCTTACTAGCTCCTTTGGCTCCTTACCATGGTCCCGTCTGCAACCCTCTCAGGCTCCAGCTTGGCTTTGCTCGCCTTCTCAAAACAGTCGGCATCCGGCCCGTGAGGGGTCATCATGCTGTGCAAGCTGCCGCCTCCAGGCTGGAAGCCTTCCTCCTTTGCTTCATAGTGGCCCTTGATGAGCCCCATGAACTCACTCATGCAGTTCCCTGGAGGCAAAGAGAAGAGTTTGCAAAGAAGTGTGACTGGGAGGGATCACAGCTATGCTGTGAGCTCCTTGAAACCCATGAGCTTAGCTGGGCCAGGTTGAGGGTGGAGTGGAAGTTCCTTAGAAGGGTATCATGTGAGGGGACATCAGGGATTCTACAGGCAGTGCTTTTAAAGCTGTACAGGATTTTATTATCTGGATTCAGAAACAGAGCTCCTTAATGAAGGCTCTTTCTTCATTATGAATCACCCTAATGAAGGTGGTTCCATCAATCCCCAAATGATTGATGCACAGGTAGACCTGTGTTTTTCTTACCACCTTGAGCTTTCTAAGTACTACACCGGCATATGGACTGCATGGTGTAACCTAATTTTACACACTTGGATTAGAGATCTTAAAGTGCAGGAAAGGAAGTTCTGTGCTACAGACACAAAATGCCTGCCTGGTGAGAGAGCCTCATCTGCTGTCCCAGGTTATAAGCATGAAATTATTTTGTTTGATACTCTTCTACCACCTCCAGTGCAGCAGATGCTTGACTAGCTTATGCTTTTGATTCATGCAGTATCTACCTATCTTACTACAGCCACTGTGTGCCCAAAGGCAAGGAACCAGATTCTGCCTTTCCCTAAGGAAGATCTTCTTCTTTAAGAAGACCCTCTGAAACACGTGGAGTAATATACGTTAGTAACACTAATCTAAGTTAGTAACACTAACT